AACTATGCGTATGAATTGCATCGACCCTACATAATCAAATTAAGACCATGGGTCTTAGTCTACGTTTCTTAAAGACAACGAATTCATTTGGATTACAAGTTGTTCAAATTGGATATCCTCTAGTATTGATATATTTTTGACATACTTTTAAATAAGTTTTGACCTTCATCCTTTAGCTCTCTCTCTCTTATATAAACAAAATATCTCGAATTAATTAAAGCATCATTCCTCTTAAGTGATCTCAAATACTCGCTCATAATAAGAAGCCCTCTCTTACACAAATATCCACTGATCATCCAATTGATACCAATAAAAGCACTTAAATGGTATCTTCATAATTAAGAAATTATTTGAATCATACAATAATATGTATTAGAACGATTTATTGAATTCAAGTTCATTAATTATTGTGCAGATTCAATTGATATTATTTTTGGATTACATTCTCATTATGATTATATTTTTAAGGATATTCTAAAAATGATATTTTTAATTTTAAGTCAAATTAATGATAAAGATGTGATAATTAATAAATAGTAGTCCAAAAAAAGAAAAATACTAATATATCTCCCCCCCAATCATATTCATAATACTGATTAGAAACATAATATAATTGGTATTTTTATAGCATGTTTACATCATAATTCAACTTCTGATATATATTCTAAATTCTTTGTATTCTGCCTTATTCTTATGCAAAATACTAATAAAAGTACAACTATTATTGAAAGCAAAATATAAACCCATCTTCTAAAGTTAAAATTAAACTATTAAGGCAAATGAAATGTTATATTATAAGTACCAGATGAATAAAAATTTTCACAATAGATAGAAACATTAATTTCGTTTTTACTTGTAAAAAAATTTTTGTTAAGTTCCATGTACTTAATCCTTATGAATATATTGAGTTGTTAAAAAATGATAAGATAATTCCAATATTCTAGGGGTTAGTCTTATTTACAATCATTGCCTTTTAAACGGATGTTGTATTTAACTAACCTAACATTAAAATCGGTTCAAATGGATCTTGTAGTTGTGCTAAATTATCTAGATAATAAATTCCAACAAAGTATTCGTTGAAAAAGTATTAAAATTATTGCATCAAAATGCCATCAGAGTATATTATATAACCATCGTTGTTTAAATTATAATTTGGAATGGTTTAAATAACTGAGGCCAGAGCAGGTGAACCCAAAATCTATTCAATAAGTACTCTGATCTTTATTATGAAACTTATATTGCTATTACTTGCTATCAAAATTACATTATGACCTTCAGTCTGTAAAATTAAAAGGTTAAAAATTATTTGGGTCGCCAAAAAACAACCAAATTATTAATTGCAAATTTATAACTGGTAAGAAACTATGGAAGATAGTTCAATGGCATTAGCTGAAACAAACATCATTTGATAATAGAGTTAAAATCCATTAGTCATGAATAATATTATTGTGTTTGATTAAAAATCAAGAGAATTGGATTATAATATGCCAATATCAAAATCTTGACACATACTTTTGTTATTTTTATAAACAGATAACTGTTATAGGCTGCTGTTAAATGAGTTAAACAAATACAATTCTTAACCTTTATTATTGAACATAGCCAAAATAAATATTTAGTCTAATAAGCAGCCAATTTTTTAAATTTTTGAAAATGTTTAGTTAAATTAGATAAGATCAAATTTTGATACAATACCCGAAGTATTTAATGTAAATGTTAGCCAATACTAAGAAGTATCATTATAACAGATTGAATACAAATTGTTTTTATTAGATGTTGATATCAGACATTCTATAAAATTTAGATATGAGTAACTAAAATTTGATAGGATTGTCAATTCCCCATTCAGAATTTAAATAGTTTCATTATTCTATAAAGCAAGAAATTAGTTATTAATAGAAGTTATTAATGTGAAATTATCAGTATTATTTGAAAAATGTAATCTTGAGGGTTAATCTATATAACAATATTAAGGGGAAATGCATTAACAATCGCTGGCTTGTCTATCAATGATTAAATTGATAGGATATTAAAATGCAATTGAATTAATTTCAGATGACTAATTTATAGGCCTAAGTATTAAATTATCTTAAGTAAGTTGAATTTGCTACTGTTTTTGATTCTAAAAAGTTGTAAAATTTGATAAATAAGAAACACTTTCATTAGGAGTTTAGTATAAGGAGTTTGGATTTATTCCTGAAACTATAGAATAATTATATATCAATTAGGGGTAGGTTTTCGTGTAGTATGCGTCTGGATTGCCTCCATCAAATGAGGAATTGAATGTTTAGAAATTGTTAAGTTTGAAAAAACTATTGTTATATAAAAGTACTGCAGAGTTAAAATTGTCTTGCATCAAAAAAATAGCTGAAGTGCATATTATTGGTTATGTCAATTCGAGAATATAATATAAACTCATATGCTATGGTAAAGAAGGATTATAAATATAAACGGTATAATTGCTAAAAGTCACATAAAAGTACTAATTATCAGATTATATAATAATGTTATTATCAAAATTTACACTATACATGCTTTTTGAATAATAATATTTAGGTAAATTGTTATAGTTCCAAACTTTGAAGCAAATATTATGATCATTATTGCAAATGTATGATAAAATCAGTTATTAGTTTACTAAATTTATTTGTTTAATTTTGAAATTCACTTGAATAACTGAAATAGGGATTGGGATGTTATTTTAACCTATTGAAATTATGATAACTTCATTTATATTATTGATAAATAGTAAAGAAGATAAAAAAAAAGTATTAATAGCAATTTATATTGGGTTAAATTGAATATTTTTGAAAAGAATATTTATTTAATATTTATATAATGTAAAAAAATTTGTGTAGTATAAAGAGAGTATTTAGATTTATTTATTATGATATG